GGCAACATCTCTTTAAGGAACTATTATTTATTTATAATTATATCTGCCTTACTGGCAATATGTAATTGAAAGAATATTAGTACAACATATAAAGATAATACATAATATTAAATCAATATTTAACAAATACAATTTTTTCAATCAGTATGTTAAGAAACATATATAACATTTTTCACATTAGAACATAGCATTTAGCAAGTCTGTTAGGATTGAGCGTTTAAGTCTTCTAGTGTAAGCTGTTTCTTTCATCGGTAATATCTGAAGTTCCGAGTTTTCATGTGTAAATAGTCGAGTTATACGCCTTGCAATAGCCGCTTTTATTACCTCGGTTATTAGCTCCAAGGAACATAGAGGCATTAAATGGATGTGATATAGTTTCCAGCCCTTTCTTAAATCTAATCTAATCTTATAATATATATATATATATAATATAGTTATAACTCATAATATTATAAATAATATAATCAACAGTTATGAGTTATTGAGAATGTGGAAGTTATATCTCGTGTTCCGTTCAATTAGATCAATGGAAGATATTGTTTAACCATTCGGGTGTGCAAACTTCCGCTATTTAGCTTTCATTACGTTCATTACAACTTCAAATACATGGAAACATGGTCTAATTTCCGTATATAAAAACGTCATCTAGGCATGTAAGGCTATGACCACACACATGCAATTTAAACCGTCTTAGATACGCTCCTACTTAGATTTGGTACAGTATTAAACAAAAGCGGCTAAAAATGTAGTTCTGCATGTCGTAACATGTCTCAAAAAACTCCTTTGGCTTTCCGTATTGCACTACTTCGCTAATGATTCGTTTATATAAATTTTAACAATATTATTTATCTAATAATTATAATATTATTTATCTAATAAAAGAAAATGTATCAATTACGTTCCGGATCGCGTCATAAGATTTCATTAATTATAACCGAATCAGCAACTATTAAATGTGACTATAACTTTTTTACTTTTTGCCTTACGTAAATTGTGAATACATATGGACTTTTTTAACTTAACACTTATTAAAATAAACTTAAATAAATAAACTTAAAAGGGTCTTTAAAGCCCACTCATAGGTTAGCGAAAAATTAAGGTAATTTTAAAAACCTTTAAATAAACCTATTGTTAGTTAAAGCGTAAAATTTTTTCTTCTTTAATAAAACATCGACCCACTCACCAATGTGAATTCATATAGGGCACTTCCATATATAAATTTAAACAAAATTCAGAAGTTCATGTTTCAACATTTTATTCTAAATAAATGTTAATATATAAATAATTGCAAAACAAAAAATTTGTGATTTTAAAGATTTAAAGTTAAATATAATTTAATGTTAGTAAATACATTCAAAAATTCTTGTAAAAGATTGTTTTTTATAAAAACAAATGTTCGTTATTGAGATATAGAAGTAAAATCTTAAAAAAAACTATCGGTAATAAAATAAATTCGAAAAGTAAATTTTAATTGACTAAAAATATAAATATTCAAAAATGTATAAAATTATAATAAAACATAATTTTTAACTATATAATAAAATTCAATATAAAATAATACAAAAAATAATAAGTACTTAAAAAATAACATAAATCGTTTTAAATTATTGCTTCACAGATCAGAGTCGATATGAGTTTTAATATAAATAAATAATGTATAATGTTAAAGTATATGTAGCAAAAACATAAACACATTGTTAAGACTATGAATGACACATAATATTTTTTAAAAATAATGACAATTCAAATTAAATTTAGAAGATAATTAAGAAATTTTTATTTTATTTAAAAACAATGCCATCAATAATAATTATAATAAATGATATCACAAAAGTAGTATAACATAAATGGACGGAGGAATAAAAAAATTAATTTAAATTAAATAACGATGAGATTTTTTTAATATATTTATAAACAACTCAGAGGAGTTTCTATCGTACGATTCCGAGCACACGGATATCAAAATGGATTTTAATAGAGTCAGGTATTCGGGCAACTTTTTTCTGTCGGCGATATGTCGATATAGGTTTAATATTTATAAAAACTTCCAAGACATCGAAAATTTTTAACTTTTCACATTGATTATACCTATACACCCACTATTTTGGGGCTAGCAAAATATACACTAGTTGTCCTATATGCAATTTTAAATTAATTAGACAAAGATGGGGTAACATGAATGAGCTTTTACTCATTGGTAATGTTCCTCATAAAAAAATTACCGACGATATATCTTAAACTAAACTATATCGACATAAGGCGTAGTGGAAAGTTGTTTAAAATAGCTGCCTTTACTAATATTCATTATCAAATAGACGTGGCAAGAAAATCGGAATCGTACCATTTCATGCATTGCTTTGGAGATCTTATATTTGATATAACTTTTTATTATTACATTATCAATATAAATAAGATAAAATGTTATACCGAAATGAATAACTCAAGCTTACAATTCTTATTAATATTATTAATATATATTATAAATGATAGCTTTGCTACATATACTTTTCGTATTGCAAAATTATTTAATAATAAATATGCAAAGTAGAAATTAAATTATTTAAGTGAACTTCATTTAAAAAAAAACTATATATATATATAAAACGTATGTAATAAATAAATATTTAAATTATTAATTAGAAAAGAAGCAAATATAAATTATATAAATAAAATTCGAAAAACTCAAAGAATTCAATTCAAAAATATCTCGTTTCGAGCTGCATTTGGATTTGTGTTTATGTTTGGAAGCTTTGGTTTTATCAAAGAGCTTCATATAAATTAAATAAATAGAATTACAATGTATAAATCAATTTAAATAAATTTCTGTTAACATTATATTCGATTTTGTTTAAGCAAGAAAGGCTTATATATATGTATATATGATTGCAAACACGCTTTGCAACAGCGTGAACACAAATTGGTGTTAGTAAAAAAATCTTAACCAACGCGTTAAATTAAATAAATATTACATTTATATAAATTTATACAGATAATGCGTATATAAGAATATATAACTGTAATGATATTAACTAATTAAGACTACAATGATTTGTTGTGTGTATACATGATTACAATTAAAACAGTTTGATATATAAAATCTACTTAATCGTAACTAATGAATATATGTATATATTTTTATTTCAATATATATAAAAATTTGTTGATCTATGCTTTGCTATTAAAAAATTTGTATATATAATAAATTCATAAATTATTGCTTTTTCATTAATTAATTATATTTGAGAAATTATTCATACACTGCTGATATAAAGCTTTAATGTAAAATACAATTTGTGCGTCCTAATCATCGTTTAACAACCTTCAAAAATTATTTTAATATGTTTTATATTAAGTTTCGCTTGTACGCTTATATTGGTCCATTTAACTGAAAAATTAGTACAGTTATTGGTAACTTATTTATTGTAAATAAATATATAGGTTTTTAACAGATGAAAATATTCTAAGCTTTACGTTTTTGTAAAGCTAAAGGTCAAAACAAAATTAAAATTAATTTAAATTGATTTTCATTTTAACGATATAACTCGAATGCTTGTTTGTGAAGGATATTTTAATATTTGATAATTGAAAATTATGAATTTAATATAAAAAACATAGATGCAGTTTTTGTTTTGATGACATACTTATGTGATAAATAAATATGTATTAGGGAAGTCACATTGACAAAATAATAAATCAATTACAAAAAAGAATTTGTTTGTTATATATTGGATTAGACTTCATTGTATGAAATATATATTTCAAATCCATATGAAATCCATATTTCAAAAAAACTAATTTTGAAAATATTGTTAAAAAATATTTCATATGGAATAATACATAATATAATATTTTACAAACTCCTTAGAATCATAACTTAACTATAGTTCGTTTCAACTCTAATGACAGTGATAATGATATTCTCAAAGGTCTCTAGAAATGAGAAGGAGGGGTTTATCGGTGCGCATCGTTTTTCTTTTGATGACATACTTATTTAACAAATAAATATGTATTAAGGAAGTCACATTGACAAAATAATAATTTAATTTCATAAAAGCATTTGTTTGATATATATTGGATTATACTTCCATTGCATGAAATATACTAATTCCATATTTCAAAAAAAAAAAAATAATTTTAAAAATATTGTTAAAAAATTTCATATGGAATAAAATATATAATATAATAATTTCACAAACTTCTTAAGGATAATGATCCGGGGCATCGGATCATGGTCAGTGTATGACTAGTCGAACAACACAAAAGAAAATTTGTTATTGTAGAAGACATATATTTATTAATATTGTGTTATCATTTTCGTTACATTATCTTATTGATAAGTGTGAAAGACAAAAAGAATTTAAGTCTTCCTATATAATTTGAGGATTAAAAGTGTGGTTTAAATTCAAAAAATTTTATATATTATAGTAAAAAATTTTTTGCTTATTTTATACAGATTGCTCTTACTATGAACATCATTTAATTCTGTCAGAATAAATTCAATATCATTAGAGTTGAAACAAACTTAATTTGTCTTAGCACTTAAATTCGGAGCAAAAGCTAAAAAAGCGTGGATTTAATTTACTGTCTAAGCGTTTCCTGACTCAATAACAATATTTTAATAACTTTTTTATTTTATTCTAAACAAAATCTAACAAGTTCTAGTTTAAACTATTTAACTATAATAACATTAAAGCAATATATACTGCATATTGATATTACAATTTACTTAAAATAATTTTCAAATAATTGATTAATTATTCGATATTCATTATAAATATTAGCAAAAATAATCTTTACTTAAATTTACATATTTTTTAAATATTAATTTCCATTAAGTTGTAATTAAAGTAAACTATTCGTTCTGTGCGATATCGTAATGACAAAAATTTTTGCTAATTTAAAGATTACTTGAGTGTATGTAATATTTTTTATATTGCCAAGCCAAATTCAACTTTTAATTTCATATAATTATTAATAGATATTTTTTATTTTAATGTTTCATTTATAAGTCGATATAATTTTGTATACTAACATAGATAACGCACTTTTCCATTCTAAGTCTTTAGTATTTGTTTTAGTGTTTGAGATTATTATCTTAAGCAAATTGCAAAATAGTGCGTAGCCTCAAAAGAGACTTCATACTCCAATACGTGCTTTGTGTCTTCTGTTTATGCCTTTAGTTTCTGGGTGGGTTTAGTAACTTTGTTCCAAAACTCTTAACTTTAATTTTTGTGATTTTAATGGTTTGTATTGCATGAGATTCTAAAAAAGTTTAAAATATTTTTTATTTCGGTAAATCCAGCGGTGCAGTAGCATTGCCGAAAAGTTCTTCGTATGATGGAGCTATGAAATAAATAACATAATATTAGTATTCTAATTTGAGCTTATAATTAAAGTGGATTAAGCGAAGTTTGCATATAAAAAACATATTTTGAATTTTAATAAATTTACACTTATTTAGATTTGTATCTTTTATTAAAATAAAGTGTTATCTCTTATACGTTATATTAAAAACTAATAAGGTAAATAGTAACAAAAAATAAAAGCTAATAGAATTATTAAATACAAAACAATAAGGTAAGACAAATAGAAATTGAATGATTATTAATCTCAGTATGTTTTGTTTCAAAGAAACATAATAATGAACTAACTAAAAACTTTCAAATAAAATTAAAATATTTTGATCATTAAAATTTTCAATAGAGATATTAAACAAATAAAAAACTAACAATATAAAAATTTTTTAAAATAAAATTGAATGTTAATATCAGAAACTGAAGAATTCAATAAGCTTTTATCTTTAATAATTATATAATATTATATAATATATAAATAATATATAATAATAATATATAATAATATATAAATATTATATAATATATAAGAAGAGAAGTAAATAAATAATTAAATGACAATAAAAAATTTAAGTAAATAAAAAAAATAATATAAATTTTAATAATAGTTTACGCTAAATAAATTAAAAAATAATAAGTAATAATAATAATTATAATAAATAACAATAATAAATAACGATAAAAAATAATAATAAATAACAATAATAAGTAGATATAATAATAAATAATAATAATAAATGGTAATAATAATAATAAGTAGTAATAATATTAATAAATAATTATTATAATAATAAAGAGTAATTATAATAATAAGTAATAATAGTAATAATAATAATAATAATAATAATAATAATAATAATAATAATAATAACAATAATAATAATAATAATAATAATAATAATAATAATAATAATAATAATAATAATAATAATAATAATAATAATAATAAGAAATAATAATAATTAACAATAATAATAATTAACAATAATAATAATAAATAATAATGAGTAATAATAATAATAAATAATAATAATAAATAATAATATAAATTATAATATTAATAATAAATAATTATATATATTATAATAATAGTAAATAACAATAAAAAATATTAAATAAAATTAAATAATCATAAAAACAATAAATAAATAAATAAATTATAAATAAAATGTTATTACGACCAATATTCAATTAGCTTTTTTATTTGTTACTGGGTTTAGTTCGTTTATTTAACACATAAATTTATAAAAATGTTTTTTAAATAAAATAAAAAAAATACACTTTTTGAACTGTGTTAAATATTTAGTTAAATTTTAATTTTTATACAAAATTATTATATCATTATTATACACTGAAGATGGTATACGAAATAGACCGAAACATTTGTAATATTAATAATTTTGTATAAAAATTAAAGTATAACTAAATATTTACCACAGTTTAAAAAGTGTAAATTTTTTATTTCATTTAAAAAACATTTTTGTAAATTTATGTGTTAAATAAACACAAAGTCCAGTAACAAAAAAAAAAAAAACAATTATATAATAAATAATAATAAAAATAAAAAATAAGTATATAATAATAAAAATAAATAATAAATAATAATAATAATCATTGCAAATAAGTAATAGTAATAATAAATAATTATAATAATAAATAATTTTAATAACAAATAATAATAATAACAAATAAATATTATAATATATATAATATATAATATATTATAATATAATAATAATTAAAAATAATAATAATAATTAAAAATTATAATAAATAATAATAATAATTAAAAATAATAATAAATAATAATAATAATTAAAAATAATAATAAATAATAATTAATTAAAAATAATAATAAATAATAATAATAATTAAAAATTATAATAAATAATAATATTAATTAAAAGTTATAAGAAATAATAATAATAATTAAAAATCAGAATTAAAAATTATAATAAATATAAGATTAATCTACGTCTCTATATATTAGAAAATTGACTTACGTTGTTCGTGTGCTCCTGGTGGCTCTCGTCCTCGCAGATAAGATGTTGATGGCAAAGGTGAATATTGTGGTGAATCTGGCAGTGCGTATGCTGAGAAATGTGGTGGAGGATAGGAACTAACCATACGTGGACTACTCGAATATGGCATATACGGCACATTCGAACTACGAAAACTGTTACGAGTAGTTGGGCTATTGAACTGGGAAGATGAGCCTGAAGTATATGATAAAGCTGCACCACCGACAGCTGGACTTAATGTTGCCGCAGAAGAATCAGATGTCGTAGAATTAATTGAACTGGATTCGCTAAATTGTGCTGAATGCGTTGGTGATCCTATTAATGTATCTAACATGGGATACGCTGCAAACGCTGATGTGGCAGAGTCAAATGAATTGCTCATATTATTAGCAGCAGTGGAATTGTTTTCATTTGTTGCATATGTCGGTGGAGGACGTGGTGGTGGAGGTATTGACATAGTTACACCATTACCTTCAACATATGAGTACATTTTAAATGGCAAATTAAGCACTAAATTCTTAAAGAAACCACGTAAAACAGCTTCAACGCGTAGCTCATAGGATATATTTATGACACCGCTAAATTGATCATCTGATGGTTGTGCTGTAATTGGCAGAAGTAGTTCATGAGCAAATGACCGTTCACTCTTTTTTTGCACAGCTCCTGTTTCTTTACATAATATGCTAACACATTCAGTTTTCTGTATGCGTAAAGGCACATGGCTGTAGTACCAAATGTATTGCAACACTGAGAAACGCAACTTTTCGACATTGGTTGTGCTATTGTTGGTAACGGTAACACATATACGCATTGGTTCACCGCGTACTGCAAAGTCTTCCGGCAACAATGCTACCATTGTTATTGGACGTGTACCAAATAAACTAATCGTTTTCGTTATTTGCTTTTCTAAGGATGTAGGATTGGCACGATATGTTGCATGCAAAGGCATATGCTTTACCACTTTAATGGGAATGATATGACGTTCATCGAAAGTCCATGGACGCTGTATGAGTACACGCAGTTTATACTTTATGGAACCATAACTGCCTTTAAAGCTGGATGGTAGATTCCATTCTAAAGGCATGGAAAAGTCAAAAGTGTGTTCACCAGGATTTAACTCAACACCTCGCGGCTCAAACGCAGCCAGCGGGCTTTCGCTGTGTGCATAAATTTCTTTACTGGAATAGAATAAACTACGTGTTGAGGTTTCATTGTTCGAACTTTTGCGCATTATTTCCATCCATTTGCATTTTCCCTTACCGGTAATTTGGACTTTGATAGCTACAACGAGAAATATTTTATTAAATCAAAATATTTTTGTCTTATATGAAGCATATTTAAACAAAGGTTAAATAATACGACAATGTAGATTAGATCTAGATGTATTATAGAGTAGATAATTTATTGCCTAATATAGAATATAATATGCAGGCGTCTGAAATTAACTATAACTTTGGAAGTTTAATTTTTTTATCAATACTGAAATGAAACGAATTCACCGATATTTTATGCAAAACAGAATTTTAACTTAATCACCATACTTTATTCTTTAATAAAAATTATAATTTATTAATTATATTTAAACAAATTATATTTTATTGCAGTATTATTCCGATATTTCAACTAATTTCGATAGTCATCTTTAAGGAACTGAGTTCCCTCAAAAAGAGACTCAGTTATCTTCAGACGCAATATTTTTATATATCTTACTGAAATAGCCACACTGTTTAAAGTGTAGTATACCTGCCTAGCACCACTGCTATGTGTCACCAATGATTTAGTGATGCGCATTACAGAACTGATTCAGCCACTGTTAAGCATGCTTCAAAATAGTTATTCCTAACACCATTTATATGCTTCACCCGTTATGTAGGGAGATGGATTACAGAATTGATTCCAACCGAATAGATTAAATTAATGATTAGTTAGTTGAAATAAACAAAAACTCTCCGATTAAAAACATATTTTTTTCACTGCTTCCAATAAAAACAAAGTTTTTTTTCAAAATTATACCAAATCGCGCCAATTCGGATATAAAACTAACAATAACTTAGATTTCAAACTTTCGTTCACGTACTTATATCCTCAATACCATGCAGTGGATCTTTATAACGGAATGTTAAATATACAACTTTACAGTTAAAAGGTTAAGGCTTTAAAAAAAAAACAGGATAAGCCAAGAAAATTATATAAGAGTAAGGGCTGCAAGAGTATCAAGTGAAGAGTGTTTTATAACCGAAAAGAAATCATTGAAACCATCAGAACAGTGAAGATTACCGCATTTCTCTTTAGTATTCATAGGTATAACTAATGATGTCTTCGACTAGTAAATTTGGATTCAATCTAGATTTATTCTCGATCTGTCAAATTTTGGTGCCCAATCAATCGTTTTTAGAGTAATCTAGCATTTTTGTAGTTGCGTTCGTAGGCGTTTATATTTTTCATAAATACATATATACATATGTATGTCGTATAAAAACACACTAAATCTACCAAGTCATAAAAATCAGCTGTTAATCTTGTTACTCTGGAGAAATATGTAGAATGTTATATATTAATCTCAATTTTACTCGAGATTTATCAACCAAAAACCAAAATTGCACTAAAAGTGAATGTTGATTGAAAAAGTTACCCAGATTTACCAATCGGAAGCGGCATAAATCTGAATGCACTCTCATGAAATTAAAGTTATAATAAAAAAAATAAAAAATTTTGGCAACTTTATCTTGAATAAAATACTGTATATAAAGATTTAATTAAATAAATTCAAAACTTCATATACCTATGTATCTAGTTCCGCTAAGACAAAAAGAAGGAAACCTATTCGTTTCCTAATGTCAAGCAAACTACTAATAATATTACAGCGTCTGAACTAGGCATCTTAAGGTACATCCCCATCAAAGCGAACGCTTGCGAACAAACGAACTTTTGCAGGTACCATTACCTGCGAATGCATGCTTAAATATTTTACATTTCAACAGGGGATTTTAACTGTGCGTAAAAAATACGTTTAAAAATGTCATTTAGGAGAAAAAAGCGTATTCACAATAGCAAATTGCAGATAAACACAATAAAGTTTGGGATATGTTAAAGAAATTTCAACTTAATTTAATTTATTTTTAATAAAACTTAATTTAATTAACGATTTTTTATCATATAGTGATATAAAATAATTTAATTTTATTCGAATTTTACTGTAATATTTGCTTTTCTTATTGTTTAGTCTTTTATTTCACTGTTGGGCAGTTTCACTGCTGTAATAATCGTTCATTTAATTATTGTTCAGTGTTTAACAATAGCTTCATTCGGTCGCACCGATGTGCGTCATAAAACAACATCTAATTTTAAATTTATGAAAGAAGAAAAACCTAACTATTTATTATTTAGATATCTGTTTCAATTTGATGTAACTTATGCAAATTACTTTTATTTTTCACATATAACTAATTACACATCTAAACTAATATGTCAACGGTAACTAACATCGTACAATCCTAAAAATTAACTACAAGTACTAATAAAAAATTAATCACTATATTTCAAAATAATTAGCAAACCAAATATTTTATATATTAAAACTATTGTGACCCATTCGATTTTAAAACACAACTGCATTATCAACTCTGAGATTGACATTTGAAAAGTTGGCATCACTTTGTACATTTTGTTATTATTTTATTCTGACATTCAAGAATCATTTATGGAGTACAGAAATGGCTGCTTGACGCATTGAGATATTTAGATATTTGGTTAGGATAAAAGGTAAGTGGGAAGTGTAATATTTTAGTTTTTATCAAGTTAATTTTGCTGAAGTGCTAAAAAATTAATAATCGTTATTCGTGTTTAAAAAAATAATATTTGTGCTCATATTGTGAGTTTTTTACTACGTCGTTTCGTGTACAGACACCGTTCGTCGCATTCGTCAATTCGGTAAACGCCTTAATGCAAGCATATATACAGTTTTACTGCACAATATGAGTATCGATTCATATAAGAACAGATATGTGTATATGCACGCAAAATTCGTATGAGTTGATTTTATATTTCAGAAGTTGTACTTTGTGTATATTTTAATTTAGAATAAAAAAAAATATGAACTCGAATTTTTTATCGAGAGCATTGTGCTTTCACGGGCAGCCAATGCAAAAAATATGGGAGGATGAAAGAGGCACAGGTGACTTACAAAACTGCGGTCTGCCAGCAGAAATCAATTATTCCATCTATCAAGAACGGCAGAAGCACTTTACTTTTCAGGACCGTGCCAAACGATTGAAATTACATCAGTTTTTTGCTAAAAAGGCTACGGATTTGTATGATAACGAATTGACACCGGATCCCAGCAAGGCAAACAATAATGAAAATGCAGAAAAAGGTAATATAATGTATAAATTGTTGTGTAATGTTGGACTGAAGAAGTCAATCCTTTATTCCAATTAAATTTCAAACTTCTAGCCAAGTCTTATGCAGCTGTATTGCCACCATATGAAGTTTTCGTCAATAAGCATAAGGATAAAGTAAGAAGATGGCGTTGCATTTTGGATGCCATTAAGCCTGGTGACCTGATATATGTGGCAATCACAAAGGCACCTAAACCAGGTTCAGCTATAAAAGTGCAACCATTATGCACTGCACCACCTTTGGTTCGTCATCTGGATGATATACCAACAAAGGTATATATTGTTGTATGGTTGTTGTGAAACAAATATTATACATATAGTATTTAAGGCTTTCCTGCAACAAGTTAGTACAGCAAAATTGCCGTTGGATGAACACGGCAAGCCGCGCTGTTTTGCTGTTAACGACCACGTGTATTGTGAAGTTTTGGAAATTTCAGTGGATGCTGATCGCTTGCTATTAGGAATAGAAAACGTTTTTCCTAAGAACGGTAATGTGCGTTTAGGTTTGGTTAACGCACATAATTTGCCGAGCTACTACAAGTAGGTCTTATATAAGTTTGATTTTCAATATTAACTATTTGTTTTTATTATTTCGCTTCCACAAAAAAGAAAGTCTATAAAACGAGTTTCAGATAATTATGAAGAAAATTTGTTAAAATCGAGTGAAGCACAAAATCCTAATTACGATGTACTATTTGAAATGAATGGTTTAGATGTGGATGATAACTTCTCGTTAATGAGCTCTTTAAAATACGGATTTCAGAAAAAAGATTATGCTAAGGAACTACGCCAAGCTCAAGCATATAAATGGGCTTTTCGGTATCTCTTATATTTTATTGAATTATATATAAAATTATGTTTTCTCATCTAATTTTAATATTGCAGTTCCGTTGCTGAAGGTATTGATTACTTCAAGCAAGGTAAACAACTGGAAGCATTTCAATGCCTTAATAAGGCATTAATAATTGATCCAAGAAATGAGGAAGGACTCGTTGCTCGAGGTGCACTTTATGCAAATAAAGGCAGTTTTTTGAAAGCAATCGAGGACTTCGACAGTGCAATGAAAATAAAGCCAGAACATGCTAATGCACGTAAATACATGGGCGAAACTTTAGTAGCACTTGGCCACAGCTATAAGGAAGATAATCGTCTGGAGGAAGCAATAAAAGCTTATACCGACTGTTTAAATCTCATACCCAACCATGAACAAGCACGCTTATCTTTGGAAGCCATACAAAAAAGCCGTAACAGTGGGCAGATATTCGATAATATTTTGAATATACCAGGTAATGTAAACAATTGCCTAGAACGACATTGTATAATATATAGACATGTCAGGTATGTCGCGGCCAGTAAAGCATGATTCAACAGAAGATGAAAGTTCAACAGATTCTGACAGTGAATCATCTGTAGAATGTGCAGGTACGTTAAAAACATTCCACTTTCCTTATATACAAAGTCAGTTATCAGTTTTGTTAATGGTAAGAAAACAAATATATATACGATCACATATAATCAGCTAGTCGTATGCTTTAATTGCAGCACCAAGTAAGGAAACTTCAGTTTCTCCGTTTAGCAAACGCAGCAGTATGGATATGAATACTTGTACCAAACAACAGTACAAGCAGCCCTTTTATATGGCAGCACAGAGTACCTTGCCACCTAATACGATGTTGCGAAACGATTTAAATGACTTTAAGGTAATTTCCAATATAACGTAGAATCGCTAAAGAATTTCTGTTTGCTCGCAGCTTGACGATGACGACACTGAGTCACTTGTGCGTAAGCTACTGTTAAAAACTTCTAAATATACTAAGGAGAAAAATAAGAAATCAAAAAAGAAAAAAAGCAAGAAAACAAAAAAAGAACACCGTAAAGAACGAAATTTAGAAATGCAAAAGGAGCAATTAAGTGTAGAACCAAGTACCAGGTGAGTAATGCGATTTGTGTTTTCCATTTCGTGTCTTGAACAGAATTTTCACACTTTTCGAGCTTTAAATTTTCGTTTTCGGTAGTATAGATTTCGTCGTATACATACGGTTATGTGATAAAAATATGTAATAAACACAATCGTTATTTTTAATATTTTCTGTCAATGTTCGAATAAATAATCTATTTTAATTTTCAGTTTCTTCAATAACGTTAGAATGAATAGTAACTACCAGAGTGCTGCTGCATTGAATCGTCGCGAAAAATCAGAGACTCCTCCACCAAAAGCACCATCTATGCGTCTTCCGGAATCATATACCTTTTCAAACACCACTCCGTATGGCAATAGTGCAACAATTCCCAAACAACAGGAACCAACGCCAGCTAAGTTCTCATTTCAAATTAAGAAGGCAGTCAAAATTGATAAATTCGGTCTAGTGCGTATAGCAACCCCTACAGATAATAGCTTAGAGACTACAAGGCGTACGCCTTCACGTTCTCGTTCACGCTCCCGAAGTCGTTATAATTCTCGTACAAGAAGTTATTATTCACGCTCACCAAGCAGTGGTCGACGTTATCGTAGAAGAGAACGTAGTCGTTCGCGTTCATCATCGTATGACCGTTATCGAAGACGTTCTCGTTCGCGTTCCAGAACACGTTCTCGTTCCCGATCCCGTTCGCGACATCGCAGTGTTCGTGGACGTGAATATGGCAGACGACGAACTCCTTCCCCGTTTGTGCCTCGCAAGACTCCACTACGTGGTAGACGTTCAGGTTCACGCTCACGTTCACGTTCACGAGAGCAATCAGATTATCGAAGTAAGGAGCGTGAGCAACGTTTTGGTAATCGCACTTGGGTTCGCAATGCAGCACAGGTACCACATAAACTATCTAGTCCCTCACCAATATCTAAGCGTTGGGAACATGATAAATATAACGACAACCAGGATGATGGTCCATCAATTGAGGAAATAGATGAAATAATTAACAAAGCTCAAAAAGAACGCAAACAGGAGATTATAAACCGTGATAAGGATATATTGAAGAAACGTAATTAATAACATTAGTATTATGGTATCTATTGTATTATGCATCAATAAATCGCATGTTGCGATTGAAATTTTTTAAGTTTACTTTTTTTTAATATTTAAAAATAATCAATTTACTCAAGTTTTCTACCATGTAGCCATTAATGTAAACAAAATGACATTTCATTGAATAAAGTCAAAATTAAATTATAACAAAATGTTTTAGATTTTTGTATTTGATAGAATTTGTAGTTTTCCAGCTTCTGGTTTTGGTCTAAATTGTTTGTCCGTTTGTTTGCCGTCTAGTTTTGTGTCTGCCAATATGTCTGCAATATTTAATGCCATTGTCGTTGGTGCTCCTGCATGTGGCAAGACGACCATAGCAAAATTTATAGCAAATAAATTTGATTTTCTGTACTTGTGTCCAAGAGAAGTTGTCGCTTACCACATAAGCATGCGCACAATTTTCGGTACAAAAACCAAAAAGTACATGTACGAGGGTCGTACGGTACCTGATGATTTGATTTTTGACACGATGTTGGATTGTATAGAAAAGTTTGAAGGAAAATCCTGGGTCTTGGACAGTTATCCACGTACCATTAAACAAGCGAAGAAATTACAAGACATGGCATGTGTAGATGCAGCCATAAATTTGATATTACCTCCAGAAAAAATTGTAGAGCGGTCGAAAAAACGCTGGGTACAACTGCCATCAGGCCGCGCATATAGTATGGATTACAATTTACCTAGAGAACGTGGAGTGGATAATATAACTGGACTAAAAATAGTACAATTACCAAAAGATCGCCCTGAAGTTGTAAAAAAACGTTTGGAGTCCTATGAGATACGTTCCAAGCCAGTAATGAAATACTTGGAAAATCATTTTTCGCTTACAAGTTTTAATGTAGCAGATATGAATGTTAAAGCAAAAATAGAAGATTTTATAATTGCAAAATTTTGTAAAAAGATTTGTGGTGAAAGATTAGGCGATAACGTAACTGATCAACATGATGAACAAGCTGAATGCTCTTGAACCAGAGAAAAAGCAACTTAAGATCACTGAGAAATATTAAGGTAAGAAAGAAAAAGGCAATCAATATGGGTAGATAAGGAGGAAGCGGGAAAATTCCATTGTTCAAATTCAGAAACTACTTATGCAATGGAAGCGTTTAATTGACACTATTAACAAGAGAATTTATAAAAAAATTTTCGAATTGACAAAACATGCTTTTGTTAAAAAAAGTCAAATGAAAAATTATAAACTAATTTAAGTTTGTCCAATATGTCCAACAGTTTTCGCATAATACTGACGGGAGCCCCAGCAGCTGGAAAGGGTACTATTTCAAAACTTATTATCAAAACTTTTGACTTCGTGCACATATCACCCGGAGACATACTCCGACAGAATATACGTAGCAACACTAAATTGGGCAAAGAAGCTAAAAAATTTATAGATGAAGGAAAATTAGTACCCGATAAAGTTGTTTCTGATATACTTAAAAAACGGTTATTAGAATTGAAGCAAAAATCCATCATACTGGATGGTTACCCACGAACATTAAAACAAGCCGAAACACTGAAAGAATGGATTTGTGTTGACGCTGTACTAAACT